AGGGGGTCTGGGGTGCAGGCCCTGGGTTGGGGCAGGGGATTGGGGTGCAGGACAGTTGAGAGGTTGGGCTCTGGGAGGGAGTTTGGGTGGGGGGAGGGGGTCTGGGGTGCAGGCCCTGGGTTGGGGCAGGGGATTGGGGTGTAGGACGGTTGAGAGGTTGGGCTCTGGGAGGGAGTTTGGGTGCTAGGTGCAGGCTCCGGATCACAGGGTCGAACACTCACCAAAGCCCCAGCAGCGACTCAGGTGAGTGAGGGCCACTGGCTGACGATGACCTGTCTGTCTCCAACCCGAAACCCCCTCGGCGTCTCCTCCAGGTGGGTGCCGGGGGAGGGGAGGGCTGCGAAGCACCTGTGTGCCTCCTCCCACCCCCATCCTGACATGAAGCAGCCGGCTGCTGGCGTCCTGTTGCCAAGGCAGCACCGACTTGTCAGGCCCATGGGTCCTGGGGGGTCTATCCTGGCGGGCTGTGGCCCATCTACACAGAGGGACGGGATCGGGGGGAGGGAGGGCACCAGCAGGGCAAGGTATAAACAGGTGCCTGCCCCACCCCTCTGACCCTGACGTGTGTCACTGACTCCGTCCCAGCCCCGAGCTATCGCTGGGTTCTCAACGGCACTGAGAGACCGGGAGCAGCTTGACCTTTAACCCCACGACTTTGGATCAGCTGGTCACGTACAAGTGCCAGGCTCACAACCCCGTCACCGGCCTCACGGCTAGCGCGGAGACCGAGGTGCTGGGTGAGTAGCTGGGCAGCGCGCCCCACGCACACCTCTGCCTGTCCAGCCAGCGCCCCGGCCACTCCGGATCTGTCCAGTCTCCAGCCGGGCTCCCTGTCTGCCTGGGACATTCGCTGTCGCCTGTTACTCTGTGCACCAACCCCGCGGGTCAGCACCGTTCCTGCGCCCTGGGCTCTGCCTGTCTCTGAAGCCAGGTCTGGGGTGTGACGAAGTGGGACTGTTCTTAATGTTTCCTCTGAATACTGTGTGTGCCTCAGTTTCCCCTATGCAGTTCTTAAGTATCTAGGGTGTGGGATAAGGGTGTATAGTTGCTGCAGAGCAAAGGGCCAGGGTACATAAATGCCCGACACTCTGTCTCCTAGCAACTGATGGCCTGGGCCCCTCTGCAAAGGTGCCAACTGAAGGTGTTGGAGACAAAGGGATCAGGTGACCTCCTGGACCCGGAAAGAGACAAAGCCCAGAGAGAAGGGGCTGGATGGGGGTGGGAGTTTGAAGCTAGCTGGGGACTGGAAGGGAGGGCAGACGGGGGTCTGCCTCGCTGGGCCCTAGAATGGACCCGGCCGAGGGGTCCCATTCGCTGGACCTACAAGTTCTGTGTTAGACCGTGTTCCTGTCATCTAATAAACCTCTGTGTTACTGGGTGGCTGAGAGTCACGACTGACTGCGAAGTGGGGGTGCAGGACCCTCTGGCTGCCCCAGGACCCCGCCTGGGCGGACTCGCTGTGGGAAGCGCACGGAGGGGCATATGTTGAATGCTCCCAGGAGAGACCCAGGAGGTGAAGCCGTGTGAGCTTCTTGCCCTGAAGACAGTCTGCGCCGAGGGAGAGGAGGCTCCCCAGAGTCCTGCCTGGCTTTGTGGGGAGCAGTTCCAGAGCATCGCCCGGGGACTCCGTGACATGGGGTCTTCAGCTCAGTTCTGGATTCACCCCTCGAGCTCTGTTCCCCAGGGGACGCTCCCGTCTGTCTGGATCAGACACGGCTCTATCACCTGTCACTGCCTGCGCCGATCCCGCTCCCTGTGCTGGGCGCTCTCGGCTAGTTCACTGTCAGTCCAGCCACATCCCCCTGTGCTCTGGTCCTGTCCAGGGCCCAGCTCCACCCCGTGGGCTCTGTCCTGTGGGGGCTGCTCCCAGCCGTGCTGCATCTGGGCCAGACGCTACCTGTCGCTTTCCAAGCGGTGCCCGACCCGTCCGATCAGCGCGTCGAGTGCCCTGCTCTGTGCCCGTCTCTCCCTCCCGGCTCCTTCCTGTCTCTGCCCCCCGCCCCTCCGGGGCATCTGTCCCCTGTGGGACGCCCCACTGCAGCTCCGACAGCAGATTCCTGTCCACCTGGCGCCTCCGGCGTGTGGCCATGGGGGGTGTGTCGGTCTGTACCCACTATTAGCCTACGGGCTGGCACCAGGCCCCCAGCCATGCACCGGGTCTGTGTCCCCGCCTGAGATCTGGGTGCTGCTGGCCCCGGCGCTGCCTCCTGGGGGTGGGTAGCGAATGGGGCAGATCCCGGAGGGAGGAAGGGGAGGCACCATCTCTCTGAGCCGCTGTTTTCTCCTTTGGTCTGTTGATTCTCTCCTGGGACTTACTGGCTCCTTCCTGGTGCGCCTGCCCCCCACGGCCCCCACGCTGCTCGGTGCCCCCCAGTAAGGGGTGCTGGAGAGTGAATTAGCCAGTGGGCAGGACAGGGAGGTCGGAGGGGGACAGGTGGATGGGGGCTGCCCTGAGGGAAGAGGCGGGAGGGATCCCAGTTCTGGCACCAATGCCCCAGAGTGGCGCTAGGTGGCCTGGTCTACAGGGAGAGGGACAGGGGCTCAGTAGGGGGTGCTCTCCCCTGGCAGTCAGTGCTGTCCCTGGGGGGTGCTGGGCTGCAGGGAGTGGGGTGGGGGGATTGTGGCTGAACCATCTGATCCAAATCCCTTCCCCCGCCCTCCACGTCTCTCCTCTATCGCCAGATGCTCCTTCAGGTCTCTCTCTTGTCGCTGGGATCGTCATCGGGTCACTGGTGGGGGTGGCGCTGGTCGGAGCCGGGGTCTATCTCCTCTGTGAGTAACAGCCCCCCACCCCTCCGGGGAGCCAGGACTCCTGGGTTCTCTCCCCGGCTCTGGGAGGGGAGTGGGGTCTAGTGGTTAGAGCAGCGGGGCTAGGAGACAGACCCCAATTCCAGCATCTCTGATTCCTCCCAGATGCTCGCTGCCGGAATGAAACCCCCAAGGAGAACGGGGCACCCGTCCTGGTGTACAAGAACCTGCCCCCTACATCCTGGGTGGGGTCTGTGGTGAGTGACAAGGGCTCAGCCCCTCCCTCTGCTAGTCCAGTCCCGCCCCCTCCTCTGCAGGTGCCACTCAGTCCCGACCCCCAGCCAGTTTACCGTCCCCTTTGGGTGGGGGTAGGGGGGTTACACAAACCCGGGGTCCCATTGACTGTCCCAGGGTCTCCCCCGCCCCCCCCCCAGCTAAGCTGGAGGAAGGGCGGGGGGGTCTCTGGGGTCTGGTGGTAACGACCCTCTTGCCTCTGTCTCCCCCAGGCCCAGTCCGGGAACCCCCCTGATCCCAGCCCCACATACCAGGTGAGCACCGGCCCCTTGTGCTGTATCCTCCCCCTGAGGGGTGGTTGGACCCAGTGGGGGGATGGGGGAGCTGCCCCCCCAAGCCCTATGGCTGGGAACGGGGCTGGTTATCACATCCCAGAGCTGGGGGGGGCAGAGTGAGCCACAGGGGGACCAGCCAGGAGCCCCAGGGCTGAGCGGGGGACCCAGCACTGGGAGGAGGGATGGGCCTCCAGCATGGGAGGGGCTTTGGGGCCAGTGGGAGGAGCTGGGGGGCTGTGTCCTGCAGGGCGGGGTCCTCAGCTCTCCCCTGTGGCGTCTCTGGCTGAATTGTTCCCGTTTCCCCCAGACGCTGCAGCCCCGACAGCCGGATGTGTACGAGGACCTGAAGAAGTGACGCCCCCTCCTGCCCCCGGTGCATGCTGGGAGGGGCCCGGGGCATGCTGGGAAAGGCGAGTCCCTGAGCCTGGGTCCTGCCGCCCCGGGGATGTCCCGTCGATGAAGGGCAGGAACAGTCACCACCCACCCCAGGGGGTGCATCCGTCTGTCTGTCCATGCTGCTTCCCTGGGGCCCATCACCGCAGCGTCTGGGCCCCTGCGAGGAGATCAGAAAGTCGGCGCCTGTGACTGGCTCCGGCTCCGTTGTGCCCAGCACAGGATTTGGCTTGGTGACGTCTCACGACCAAACACCCCCAGCCTGGGCACGTGCCCTGTTCTCTGCCCGCCTGACCTGAGCCTGGCGCTCTGTGTCCCACACCAGGCCGCGGGAGCTCCCCACTGCACGGAGGGGCCCGGGCGGCTCTGTGACCGGCCGGGTCCCACAGGGAGTCTGTGGGGCTGCAGGGACTCGGACCTGGGTCTCCCCAGTGCCCGGCTGGTGCCCAAACCAGGGCCAGGGGACCCTGCCCAGGGCTTCTCCCCCCTCCCCCCAGCGCCTGGCCCCGCGTCTTTCCCTCCCCGGGGCAGTTCTCCCCTGCAGAGCTGTGAGCAGCGAATCCGACCTGCCCGGCCGGGAACCGGGGCCCCTGGCAGAGGGCACAGGGCACCGAGGGACTCGCGGGTCCCTCGGCTCTGACATCTCCAGACCGGCCCCCAAAGGGGCTCGGGAGGTCCCTGCCCAGAGCCGGCAGCGCTGGGCGCGGTGACCGTGGTGAGCTGTGTGCCGGAGGCACGGCCGGAGCTGTGTCTGGCCTGGGTCCCAGGGGCTGGTTCCACCGGGCAGCGGGAGGCTCCAGGCCCATCCCTGGCAGACAGGAGGCACCGGGCCGTTCTCTCTGTGCCCGGCTCCGGGGGCACTGAACCCCACAGGAGCTGCCAGGGGTGGGTTTGGGACCTCGGGGCTCTGGGAAGCGCGTTCCCATTTTATTCTCCTTGTCACCCATTGTCCCGTTGGGTGATACTGGGTCAGACCAAGGGTCCATCTAGCCCAGTGTCCTGTCTGCCGACTGTGGCCAGTGCCAGGTGCCCCAGAGGGAAGGAACAGAACAGGGAATCATCCAGTGATCATCCCCTGTCACCCATTCCCAGCTCCTGGCAAACAGAGGCTAAGGACACCTTCCCTGCCCATCCTGGCTAATAGCCATTGATGGACCTGTCCTCCAGGAACTTCTCTAGTTCTTTTCTGAACCCTGTTATAGTTTGGCCTTCACAACCTCCTCTGGCAAGGAGTTCCACGGGTTGACTGTGTGTTTTGTGAAGTAATTTCATTTGCTGGCCCCTAGTTCTTGTGTTATGAGGAGTAAATAACACTGCTCTAC